TGCTTGCGTCTGGCTCCAGCAGCCCCAGCCCTGGTCTCAAAGTATGCCAGCCTGCGACTGGCCTCAGGCCCAGTGCAGCCAGCAACTTGCCACCCAGCCTCAGGCCCAAGTGTGTATGAAACAGGCCTTGCCCATCCAGCAACCCGCCCAAGCACAGCTCAGCCCAGCCCGCCCAGCCCAAGTTCCAGGCGCAACCAGCAGCGCCAGCCTGAGACTAGCCTCAGGCCCAGTCCCTCAGCCCGCCTGCTGGCGTTTCTATTGGGGATATTTTTCCGGGGTACTTAAGCAAATGGAGGTTTGTATTCCCACCATGTACCTGTCTTGGGCTGAGCAACCGAGCAAGAAATGTATGTCATGGCAAGCCGCCAGCCACGTGAAATGGAGGTGCCCAAACACCCAAAGTTGGTCTTGGTTGTTCAGTGACACCAATTATTGTTCCCCTTTTTATGGAGGCCAAGCCCCACTAAAAATGCTCATCCCCAGAAAGAGGTCCTTTTTTTTCCAAGGGCACTGAGCAGCTGAGATAGTCTTGGTTTTGGATTTCAAACCTTCCGAGCAGGACGGCTTCCGAACATCGAACTAGCACGGGCGAACTGGTGCGGTCACAAGCTTTCAGTAGGATTCGGACCTTCCCAGCACTGGATTTCGGTGTTCCTGACCCTTCCCTCAAACTAGGCTGGGCCGAGGCGGGCAACGCGAAGCGTTTACAATCATATTAAACTTATCGCACAGCGCAATTGCAACAACTATAAATATCGCAGATTTAGTCAATCAAATAACAGCAGGAAATGCACAAGCTAGCAGTAGTTCTTCTAATGAAATTATTAGTGTTCATAGTTCTCCACCTGTTACTGTCCATAGTTCTTCATCTGAAAGTCCAACAGAAATACCAGCACCAACTGAAGACGAAGAAGAAGAAGAAAACCAACATTTCAATTTTGAAAAATTAAAATCTAAATAATATTATATATAATGGGTATTGGTCAAAGTAAAAATAATGAAAATAATAGTTTGGAAGACATTAAGAATTTAAGTATAGATGAAAAAACACGAGCAGACACTTTAATTATTAAATCTCTTCAAGAATGTGTGACACGAATTGAACAACTAGAGAAAGAAAAATCTGACAAATTAATATATAAACTTCCTGCTTTACAATTTTGCAATGCTTCGTTAATTTAAATTAATAATATTAACATATAATAATATTATTAATTGCTATCATAATCTGTCATTTTATCCTCTGGTATTGTTGTTGAAGTAGTACTACTTATATCATCTATTAAATATTCTTCATCAACAAAATTATTTTGAAATCTTAATAATTCCTCGTCTGTTGGTCGTCTTTTTAACACTTTATAAAGTTTATGTATCCAAGAATTAGTATGAAAGTTATAATTACCTCTACGATAAAATCCACCACATCTACATAGTTTCATTGACATATTATTATATTATATTAAATTAGAATATCTTTATTCATCATTCGTAATTTGAAACGCCTGTTCAAATCTGATATGAAACATTTTGTTAATGTCTTTAGCATTCATATTCACGTAGAAGAAACTATAAGGTGCGTCATTAACGGCTTGATGATACATATCTAATAATTGCTGTTTATCAACAATGGCGCTATTTTCTTCAATAAAACTCATTAACTCACTTGCATTTTTCAACCTAAAAATATATAATGAACTGGCATTTAAACGAATGATAGGCGCTAAAACATTATATTTTTGTGTTGAACAAATTACACTTACTGCATCGTGCCTACCTCTTGTAAATAATCCATGTAATAATTTACTATATCTAACAAATTTAGGATCGTCTGCGTGGTCATCTATAACGATTAATATTGAATGCAGTTTCTTTATCTTTTTAGATTTCATATAATTAATTATTTTCTTCTGTCTTTCAATTACATTTTCCAAATCACTTGGGTTATAATTATCAAAATATATTTGTTCTTTTTTATCATCCACGTGCAATTCATCCCTGATGTATTTTTTAACTTCTGTAAAAGTTGGGTCATTATGAACGCTGGGGGAAAATATAAATATTCTTGCAAATGAATTTCTATAAACATTTAAAATAAGATTCTGAACTAAAACTGTTTTGCCTCCCGTCGAACTCGCAACTATAATACTTCTAAATGGTAATTTTGGCACGTGCTCATATTTGGATTGTTTGAATTCATATTCAGTTATGTTTATTGGTTTTATTATTGGGACATCTGTCATAGTTGATATTAAAGAAATATAGAAAATTATATTTAAAAATTAACTTGTAATTAATATTAAATGGAACATCATTATGTTATGAGTGGCGGTGAATAACATAATGGAACAGGTTTTCCATTGCTTCAATCAATAAGCATTGAAGATAATTAGTTTTGTGTCTTGCTCGCGTGTGCAATGAAAACCCAAGTGCTGTGCCCCACCAATATTCTATTATGCATGAAAATAATAAGATTAATTAGAATAATTTATCTTATTATTTAATATGGATAGAAGTTATTCAGATTATATTGATATAATAGATGAAGTAGAGAATATAGAACAAGTAATAATAACTGACAATAAAATTAAGAAATGCTGTTATTATACATTAGAATTAATAAAATTAGGAATACAATATATCAAAAATAAAAATGTAAATATTAATATAAATGGGAAAAAAGAAAAACAAAAAGAATAAAACGGATACTACAGTTTCTTCAACAGATGAAGACAAAGAAGAAGAAATTGTTAAGGAAACAGCACTAACCGAGTTTGAGTGTCCTATGTGTAAAAAGATGTTAGAAATGAAAAATGAAATAGAAATACAAAAGAAATATTCCGACAAATTTCAAATTGAGTAAAAACGATAAGAAAATGAATATTGATAAAACCAAAGACAGTATAAATCTGGAAACGGATGTTCATAATATAACTTTTAAATGGGGGAGGCATGCGTCGCCATCCGATAATGGTGATAACGAAGCACAGGAAACTATTAAACAAATGATGAAAATTTAGTACTTAAAGAGTAGATTTTACATTAAATCAATTTTATAAATAAATAAATATTTAAATAAATAATTATATAAATAAATATATATAGAAATGTCTGAAGTTGAAAATGATGTTATTGTTGAACTATCAAAGAAGATAATGACAGTTAGTAAAAATGTTAAACTGTTGTACGAGATGATAAAAACTATTGACCAGAAACTTGATGCAAAGGCAAACGAACCAAAAAATAACAATGAAGAGAAGGAAAAGATTGATAAGATCTTTGAAAAGAAAGGGATAGGCAGACCCAGCGGTGATTATGACACGAAGCGTAAAAAATATTGCGATATGTTAAATAAGGGGCAAATCAAAAGTCCAAAAGAACAAACATTAGAATATTATAAAATAATTAAGGGCGATGATGGTAAATATGTAATTGTTGAAAATTAAAATATAAATAATTCTAATAATATGAATTTATTAGAACTATTTTCAGGCAGTGGTTCTGTTTGTAAAATTGCACGGGATTTAAGTTTTAATGATGATAATCCAATTTTAGCAATTATAATTTAATTATGCTATTTTAATTATAATTTTATTTTATTAATTTAATTTTAATTTATTAATTTAATTTTAATTTATTAATTTAATTTTAATTTATTAATTTAATTTTAATTTATTAATTTAATTTTAATTTATTAATTTAATTTTAATTTATTAATTTAATTTCTTGTAAAAAGTACTTAAAGAAATATTAATTATATATATTATCATACAAATGGTTGTATTTACAGAGGTTGAACAGGAAGAAATTATCAATGAATTCTTAACTTATATTGAACAACAGGAAACTAAAATAATTGATTATTTTTGAGTGATAATGATAATAAAACAGAAGAAGAAGAAGAAGAAGAAGATGACAGTTACGGATTTGTAACTGAAAAACGGTTAGAAAAGGAAGTTACAGAACATCATAAAATGATAAACAATATTGAAACGAAAAATTACATCCCATTAAAACATGCAATGATAAAATATATGGAACAAACCAACAACCAACGAATAATTAGAAATGCTGGAAACTATTCATACAGTCAAAAGACATCCAATTGGTGGTATTTAAGCTTTAGAGAATTTGAATGGTTAATCGAAATAAAAAAGAATGGTAACAAATGGATTTGTAGCAAAGAAAAATTAGATGCAGTTGATTTTAACATATTGTATAAATATAAAATGTTTGAAAGAAGATTTGAATAATTATATAAAAAAAAAGAATGAACCAGACCTTGCCCATAATATGTCTACAAAATTTGTGATAAAATTTATTGTATAATAATTTATCATAATTTTTGGAATAATATTTTTTTAAATTTATTTTTTTTTATTTTTTTTTGTAAAATTTATTTTTTAAAATTTTGTAAAATTTATTTTTTTAAAATTTTTTAAAATTTATTTTTTATTTTTTTTGTAAAATTTATATTTTAAAATATGGATGAACTTACTAGGAAATTACCTGCTTTAAAATGTTGTTTTTTGAAAATGTGCTTTTTGAGGTGCTGTTTTAAAATGTTGCTAAAAGTGTGGGGGGGGTCCTAGGATTTTTTATAGAAAAAAGATGGGCAAGGTCTGGTCTAACTACAAGTCCCTCTTGCGATTTTGATCGGCAGGGAATGCAATGAGGGAATGAACCCTATCTCTACCAACAAAAGGTCTGACTCTGTTCCACATTTATTTGTCTACCCTAAAAAAAGTAAACTAGTCTTGCAGGAGACCCAGCTACGAGCCATCACTTGTAGCTGCCTTTCAAGGTGGCTTAAGGGTCCCTGAAAGCACTCACCCAACTGTCCAAGACATGTTCACCCCAGAAATGAGCTTACAACCGAGGTTCCAAAGTGGAAAACAGAGGTGGACAAGTTTGAAGATGGTTATAACCTACCTACTTCTGGCTTGAACATCCAAGCAGCCCATCCCCGAAGCTCCCCCCCACCGCCCTACCCGGGACCCGTCCCCTGCAGGCGCTCAAAGTAGGCTCGCTGCTGCCGCAGAAAGCGGTCCCGGAAGTCGATGACCTCAAGGGAAAACCGGATACCGGATAGAAGAATCTGATGTGGGAGGCGCGTTTTTTGAGGCGAAGGCTGCCCTTTCTTAGGCTGGTTTACAACGATACCAAAGGGAAAGCCAGCATTGTCGGGGCCACTGGAGCCAATTTCATTGGGATGGGTTTGTGGGGCACTTCACTAAACTAAGTCATGATCAAAGGAGCAGATATTTAGCCCATCGTTTGAACTTTTTCGTGGATTGTTTCTGAATGGAAATGAAAGGAAACGAACCTTTTTGTTGAAACGAAAAAGCTCAAATGACACTGATGTGGGTCTAAAGGAAAACCTGCGGACCGCAAAAGCAGGTTTGAGAACTCCTTAAGATGCAACCACGTCGAGGGGCCCAGCAAAACAATCTGAGGTGCCTCGGGTCATGGGCGGTCGAGCGCTTTGTAGAACCTTTGTACAAACACCCAAAAGCGACATGTCTCGTCATAGCCAGGAGGCAATGATTTTGCACCCCATTTCAAGAAAAGAAGTCTCTCATTTCTCCTGACCCTAAATGATCGCCCAATTTCAAGTGAACATGGACTTTGGAAGTCTGGGGGTGAGTTTTAATGAACCCATCCCCCAAACAAGCAGTCTGTCCCTGACCCCCTTCCTTCCATTGTCTGTGTCAGCTGCCAGGCAATGCCAAAAGCATGGGACGGACTTCCGGCTGAACAGCATGACAAAAGTGCTCAGTGCAAAAGCCATGCGGGGATGTAGGGAGCGCTCTGTGACCAGAAAAAACCAAGGGTGCTTGACGTCTTTTTCCCGCGTACCGTTCTCAATGGTTTCAAGGGATACCAAAAAGAAAAACCAGCATGGGAGTCCAAGTCCCGGGCGCTGGGCGGGTCCCAAAAATGGCATCAAGCAGTCTGCCTTGATGTTGACCCCATAGTTAATCAACCCCAGCTTATTCACAGGGGGTGTTTCCCTCCAAAACGCATGATTCCCCGCTAAACCCAGGGACACCCCCCACCCCCTCTACTAAACTGGGGGTGGTGAATATGGGGTCAACTTCACTCGGTCCCAAGACATCTCCCTAAAATTTTAACCGCACCAAGAGGACCTGTGGTCCAAAAGGCAATGCTTTTCGAGCGGCGCTTGAAGATGGGAGCCGCACCTGCAAGGTGCGTGTCTCCGGAGACTTGCGAGGGTCGTAGCCCAAGCGGATGTACGCCTGCCAAGTGCAAGGAGCAGAGCACCGCGCGCGCGGGCAAGAAGGACATCGCGGTGGCGGAAACTGGGCCGACACCATGGTCTCTCTCGCTGGAAGGGCGCCCGTGGGTGCAAGGAGAAGAAACCCACATGCCAATCATTTGCAGGTGCACCCATGCTTCCGCCTGAATCACCCAAGCCAAACCTAGTAGTGCGCTCATTTGTGGGTGCCTTCTTTGTAGAACCCCCAACCGGAAAATGGGCCGCCATGTCGGGGGGGAGTCTCCAATTAAAAAATTCGGGACCCTTTGCACCTGAAACTTCGAGTGGTTCATGTCCGCCCATGTTTTTCGAGGCGCCTGGCGCCAGGGGCCATCTGACCAGAGGTAGCTCACGCACATGAAGCTCTTCTGCAAGGTGCTCACCTCGGTTCCAATCCGATGACTCCCTTTGTTTTCCAATGGGAAGGAAGCTCCCAGGATGCGTCAACTAAAACATACACAAAACGTTTCACCTCATTCTTCCAACGGAGAATCCCTTGATTTTTCAAGGGGAAGCTCCCAGGATACCTCATTTTCGCGGATGACTCATGTTCCAAGGCTCATTTTTAAAAAAGGAAGCTCCTAGGATGTGTCAACTAAAATCCGGGATCCCCCGTTTCGTGAGGTTTGAAGAAAATCAGAGGGACACCCTCCCCAAGACCCCACGTTTGGGCCTGTTCTAGACACCCATCTGCAACCCTCCATGAATGACAGAATGGCGATGCACGTTGTCTTTCTCTCGACGAAACAACAGCAAGTCGTTTCATCTGTTGTTTAAACATCCTTCTTTGGGATCTCATTTAAAGGTTGACCAGGGAATAGTGTTTGAACAAATGCTGCCATTTTAACACCCTTCGTTGGTTCCCGTGCAAAAAGTGGCCAAGGGATGGCTGCTTACAACCAAACCTGGCTCCTCATCTCTTGGAGGGCCGGCTTCAGGAGAGTGGCGGGGAGTACTCCGTTTTCTTGGTTGCTGCAACGGACCCCCTGCAAAAAGTGAGTTTCACTTCTTGGGGGTTTAGTGGACAGCACCTTTATTTCACCCAAAAAGTTAAAGTCTAAAGATCCGTTCCCCAATAGCAGTCTAGTTTCGAGGCCGTGTCCGGACCCTTGCCGCGTCGCACTCCGAGCCGCTGAAAGCGCGCCCGCCCTGCCCCACACCGGATCTTTCCCGAAGCCCGCATCCAAATACGGGGGCCAACTACCACCGCTAAAAGAATGGTTGGGTTGACCAACTACCACCGCCATTTTACCCTTCAGGATGTAACCATCATCCAAACTGGGTCAACCATGTTCCTGAGGATCGGTTTTCAAGCCCGGGGAATCGATCGACCGTGTCGAACCCTCCGCACGCAGCGGGCGGAACTCTCCCGCGGCCGTCCGTGCGGCCGGAAATCCCGGGCGCCCGAGCATTGGGGGAGAGGCGCTGCAATTGCAGCTGCTCCTATCCGATGTGGGCTCCCTGAAAAATGGGGTGGGGGGGGGGGGGTGTCAGGGGGTTGGGGTGGGGTGGGGAGGGGTCAAAATGAAACAGGATATGGGTCAAATGAAACCACTAGTATGGGTTTGGGTCAAAATTAAACCACCAGGAAATGGACCGCAGATATTAGTCCTTGGTTCCATTTACCGGGGCAAGCCATTTTGAGGTTACCTCATGTTTGACAGCCACAGCCACATTTGACATGGGTGTGTCCTACAGCACCAAAAAAACAATGTCCTCCAAAGCTGGTAAAGGTATATAAAATGTTCATGGCCACAATATATCCTTTTCGCCACCCTGCTATTGAGTAGAAACGATTTTCCATGTTTTATTTGCACTCCACCGGTCTTTCCCAAAATTAGTACGCTTTGAATAGCTTCTTTGGTATCCTTAACAGAGGTTCACAAGCCCCGCAAACCGCACCCTGGATATTTCGACTTCTTCTTCTCCCGGTGGTGTTTAGGGGAAACGCGCGGCGTTCTTTTGCATTTAGTTTCAATGGGAACCTTTCCGAGGGTGAGAAGGGTGATACGCCACTGGGCAACTGACCCTTTCTGGCCGACAAACCCGCAAGCGGCCTTCAGCAAGCAGGCAAAGAAGGGTGAGCAAGGGAAGAATAATTTGGTGCCAGGATCTGATGGAAGATCAAGTTGCCAGCGAATGCAACTTTTATGCCCATCTGAGGAGGGGTGTGCCTGTTGACTTGTGGCATGGTGCCTTTTTGTGGCACGTGTTCTCCCTGAGGAATTCCATGTTTCCACCGCGGCCATTCCAACCCAAGTCAGCAAAAGTGCCCTAAGCTCAAGCCAAACCCGTCTCCACAGTATCCAAACACCAGCAACTTGCTCAGGGAATGACCATGACCTCCTACGTGTTGGGAGAAAGAACCGATTTCGCGACTTCCCACCAAATCGGAACCGGAGGTTGCTTCTGCCATTTCGAACCATTCCGCTGCTGAGTGGAACCACTCCTAGTCCGTCAGCCCCCCAAAACCCCTTCGTTTGCGCGCTGAAGATCCGGTCGTAGCGCTGAACGGAGAGACTCGGATTCCAAGTTGGATCCGTTACAACCAGGATTGATTTCAAATGATTCCAACAAAAAGAAGAAAAAGAAGAAAAAAAAGCCATCGATCTCAAAAGAGTCAAAAAAAAGGCCAAGACAGCTGCGGGACGACCGGCGCCGAAATCATCTCCCGCCTCCATGGGGCCCCGCAGCCACAGCGGCCGCTGCTCGAAATGGCGCCGCATGGCTTCCACCTCGCCGCAGGGGCGTGGCTCGTTTTTCTTTTTGGGGGGGATACTGTGGATGGACAAAATCCATTTCGCACAACCTGAGAAACCCTGGTTTATGATGATGTCCTGGCAAATACCAACCAACCATGGTTTCCCATGGTTTCCAAGTGGTGCAGGATTTCGTCCATCCACTGTACCACGTTTTGTTGGCGGTTTCAAGGGAAGCCAAGAGGAAAACCGGAAAAACTATGTTGGAAGGTCCACAAAAAAAAACGGCACGCCCAGGTACAAGCGAGTTGTTTTTGGATTCCGTATGGGTGTGTCTGTGTCTAGGGGAGCCCCACCCCCAACAAAGAAAAATAAGGCCTCGGTGTTCCTTTGGGTTTCCCTTTAAAAACGGCAAAACGGGCACCCTCAAAAACACCCACTTGAAAGTCAAAGCAAGGGTCATGTTGACAGTCCCAAACCAAAATAGGCATTTGTTTGGGGAAAACCACCCAAAACTCCGGAGTCCCAAACAAAAGCAGCACCCAAGACCCGCGCCAACCTTGGGCTCCATCATTGCTCTCAAGGCGGGCTTGTGACCCCAAGGGAACCAGGTAGAAGCACTATGGATAGAAGGGCGCTGAACTTTGGGCCTCTTTGACCCTCTCGTTTCACAAAGCTTTGCAATGGGGTTGAACCCGGAAGTGGGATACCCTAATCGCGGATCCCTACTGAGGGGGATCTACCACTATATAGAAATAATGTGTTTTGGCATCTCTAGGCATTCATTGCCAGGGGTGCAAGACGGTTGGTCCTTGCTGTTTACGTGCACAACATTCTCGCAATGGAACCTTACCATAGATGTCTAAAACCCTTGAGAAGGGGTGGATGACCCATCCTTACCAACCTGGTCTTGGTGGCCATGTCCTGTCAAAAAGCTTGACTCGTTGTTATTCGTGGAAAAAACAAAACACGCGTGTTGCCAGAACCTTAAAGTTTAAACCCTCCAACCAACCAGCCGTCGATCCGAGCGAAGGAGATATGTTTATCCATGGTTCATGTGCGGATCTGTCTATGTCTTGCCAATCTGCTAGCACTCGCAGAAGGCAGTTCCACAAGCTCCGTCACCAACCGGAGATTTAAGCCTAACATGATCGGAAGCTGGTTCGCGAGAACCAACCCTTTGCGAGGTCCATTGGTACTTCTGCTGTGCGCTGTGCGCTGAGGGACCCCTGACCTTCGCCGAAGCATGCACAAAATGCAAGACATGTTGCGAAGGCTGTTTGAAACCCCAGAAACACTCCAGATGGCTCGCACGCTGATGGCTAGCACGATTGATGGAACTCAAGTCCTTGGAGCAATACGTTTGATGGATGGTGCTAACCGACACAAACCTTCAAAGGCTCCTTGGTGGCCGAAGCATTTGGGCAGGGTGTCGGCTAGAAACTCCGCCGTTCAACAAATCAGCTGCTCAGCAACTTAAGGTCGTGCAGGGTCCAACTATCCGCAGGAGGCAAAACTGGGCCACTATGAGTTTGCCCCGTGCATGGGTTACCTCCGTTCAAGCACCTTGTATGCAACACAACATTCCCACCAATTGGAGCTGGGCTTCAATGTAGTGGAGTACACAGAGAACCCTATTTTCTGATTGTGTTGCATATGTTGTCTACCCCCAAACACCTGGAAAATGCCCTCCTGTGCACCAACCTGGAACCTGACCTATGAGGCCCTAAGACCACGTTCCGCCACTTTCCACGCGCTTTTGGTGGGTTCCAGCTCTAGCCCCAGCTCAGGGCTCCAGGCCACGTCCTTCTCATCATCCCGCAGCGAGTCCTCGGATCCGATCCCCGCCGAGCTGACGTCCCCTTCACATCGCCCGTGCTTACGGTCGTCAGTGATACTTACCGCTACAGTCAAACCGGCCTGGGTCTGGGTGAATTGTGCTGATGCATGTTCATATTTTATATATATATATATGTATGTATATATATATATACACATGTCCATACATATATATATATATATATATATGCATTGTTCAGAAAAATGGACCCCAAGAAGGGACACTTCACGCGATCGCAGGCCGAATCCACCCGAGGTCGCAAATGGGCACGTGCCAATGGATTTGGACGCCCAGAATTCATGCGGGCTGGGGGGGAGATATGCCCTTCATAAGGCCTTGTTTAGGGCTCCCTCCCCTCCCTCCCCTCCCTCCCCGCCAGCCATGAAAATTTGGGTGGTCCGCCTGGTGATTTTCCTTGCTCTCGAAAAAGAAGAAAAACAACGAAAACCGAAAACCGAAAACCAAACCCAAAAAAAAATGGTCAAACCGAAAACCAACAAAAAAATCCTCCGACCCTTGCTGTCGATCCCCGTGTCCCCCGCCTTGGCGCCTTCCGGGGGCTCCGTGGGCACCGCGCCCCCGTCGAACTTCATCACGTGCACCTCGGTCAAGGGCGGGCCGGTCTGATCCCCGAGCGCTGAAAGTGGAGAAAAAAGAAACGTCCAGCGGGTTGAATGGAAACCCAACCACTGAACCCGCGAAGGAAAAAAAACGAAGAAAAACACGCTCAGGAACCGGATGGCTGGGAGCCACCAAGTTTGGAGACCCTTTTGCTGGTGGTTACAAAGGGTAACCAGAAGGCAAACCCGCAAACTCACATACAATCAGAAGACACAAAGAAAAACGCACCCGATTTTTTGGCCTCCTGCTCTGTGAGCGCAACTCATGAAAGCCAGACCCATTTTTTTGGAGATCCCAATCCATTTCCCCCCTTAGGTGGGCAAACCCTTCCAAGGATTGGAGCAAAAGTTTCGGGACTGGGAATGTTTCGGAACAGGCGATACCTCAGGCCGGACATTCAACCCACTTGGTCTGCGAGTAGGCCATTTCTGTTTTTGAAATATATATATATACATAATAAATTGTCCACTGACCCCTGTGATCCCAATTATACTTGATTGCTGTTGACCCCCCTGCAAAAAGTTTCTCACCTTTTGGGGGTCTAGTAGAAAACACCTTGATTTCCAAACAAGTTGTAAAGTCTAAAGATCCGTTCCCCAATAGCGGTCAAGCATAAGCATGCTTGTGCTCACTCAAGGGAAAAACCGATACACAACCTGAGACATCGGCCTGGATCCAGCCGCGCGAGATCTTGGTCTCCCCGGTGCCCGCGATGGCCTTGACCTGGCGGGACCGGAAGGTCCAAAGACATCAGGACTCACTGGACCACTCCCCAGCCAAGGTTCCGTACTCGGCTTTCTTGGGGTCCTGGGAAGGGGAGAGGGGGGGGGGGGAGGGTGGAAATTTGGGTTTCCGTTTCACCAATCCTGCGGTTGTCAAGGATTTTTTTTGAATAGGGCCCCCCCAATCCTAATTGGGATAAAAAGCGACTAACAAGGCCTGTCAGAATACTGCGGATGGACGAAATCCGTTTCGCACCACTTGGAAACCATGGGAAGCTATTGCCTGTTGGCATTTTGGAGGGGGATCCATGGTTTCTTAGGCGGAGCAGGATTTCGTCCATCCACGATATCTCCCCAGAAGCCACTTTGGGTTTCCTTTTCACCAATCTTGTGGTTGTCAAGAATTCCGTGGGAAGCCGTTGTGTGTTGGCATTTTGGAGGGGGATCATTGAGAAACCAGGGTTTCTTAGGCGGTGGAGGATTTCGTCCATCCACAATATCTCCCCAGAAGCCAAGGTTCCGTACAAAAATACTCATGGGATGAGTAAGTCCTACAGAGAAATCCGGAGGCTCATGCTGTGGATGGACGAAATCCATTTCGCCGCTTGGACACCATGGTTGAAATGCGAAATGGATTTCGCAACCATCCACGGTAGATTCCCTTTAAAACCAACAAGGCAAAATACACAAGTTTCTTTACCAAATGTGTGATACACTGGATGGAAACAAATCCGCAGGAAATCCGGAGGTTCATATCTTCTTTCCTTGCCAGGCCAGCACATTCCCCGAGATCCCGTGGGAACGCCTCCTTGTTCCGGTGCCGCCGCAGGAAGGCGTTCTCCTCACGTTTCACTCACCGGAAATGGAGGCTCCGCCCGATTTTCGGACCTTCGGGATGGATACTGGGGGAACCCCTTTGGGATGTACATGCTGTGGATGGTTGCGAAATCCGTTTCGCACCACTTGGAAACCATGGGAAACCATGGTTGGTTGGTAGTTACAGGGGAATCAGCATTCCAGGATGTTTTAGGTGGTGCAGGATTTCGTCCATCCACAGTACGTGTCAGAAAAACCTCCAAAATCGCTGGGCTTCCTGTTAGCTTCCTGTTTTTGTTTCCCCTTAAACCCAACTGGCCGAAACGAAACTGGGCTGCCCTCAGATCCCCCGCTGAAGGTGACTAACTTTTAGTGGGTTAAATGGAAACTACCACTAAGCACTAAAAAGCTAAAAGGCTGAGGAACCGGATGGCTGGGAGTTCAAAGTGAAATACACAACTTCCGGATTTGGGGATAACGCAGCAAAATGTTGACCCTGCATCAAGGAACCTTCGCCGCCTTTCTAGCCGCTAGGGGTTTGTCAATGGGCAAAAGCCCAAACCTCCCAAACTGTCAAAATAGTTTGGAAAAGCGATAAAGGAAAAAACCGACAAAAAACAACGGGTGTTCCTCATGATTCCAACTAAACCACTCGTAGACATCACGGGGCCGCGGGCCGCAAAACCGCCCCTTCCAACTGCTCAACTAGGAACACGGCTCATATTCCGCCGTGAGTCAAAACAGGATTTCAGTAGCACAAGTCAAGAATAACACGTGTTTTCCTATGGGAAATCCCAATGAACCGAAGCCTTAAGTGATTTCCGTGCTTTTCACACGTCCACCCCAAGCAGGGTTGCTGTTTACGTTGGTTTTCCCAATGAAAACAAGGGTTTTGTTCCTCGTGAACTACTTTCAAGCCAGCACTGCTTTTTCTAAATCAAACACCGACTGCGTTCCTTGTCACGGCAGAGCCTGCAGGCAATCAAAAACTCGCTCGGGCTTTGAGCATCCAGCGTCTGCAGTTCCACTGGAAAACCTGCTGCTTCACTGCAATCTGGCTGGCATGGATACAGTGCTGAGCGGGCGCGCGTGAGCGGGTGTTCTTACCATCTGGCTGGCATGGGTACAGTACCCAGCGGGTGCGCGTGAGCGGGTGTTCTTACCATTTGGCTGGCATGTGTGTAGTGCTGAGCGGGTGCGTGTGAGCGGGTGTTCTTGCCATTTGGCTGGCATGTGTGCAGTGCTGAGCGGGTGCGCGTGAGCGGGTGTTCTTACCATTTGGCTGGCATGGGTACAGTACTGAGCGGGTGCTCGAGCGGGTGTTCTTGCCATTTGGCTGGCATGCGTGCAGTGCTGAGCGGGTGCGCGTGAGCGGGTGTTCTTACCATCTGGCTGGCATGGGTACAGTGCTGAAGCATCAGTGTTTGCACCTGCCCGAAGGGGTAAAAACACACGAAATTGCATTTTGATCCACGGCGGAATATGAGCCGTGGACCAACTACCACTAAGCACTAAAAAGCTAAAAGGCTGAGGAACCGGATGGCTGGGAGTTCAAAGTGAAACACACAACTTCCGGATTTGGGGATAACGCAGCAAAATGTTGACCCTGCATCAAGGAACCTTCGCCGCCTTTCTAGCCGCTAGGGGTTTGTCAATGGGCAAAAGCCCAAACCTCCCAAACTGTCAAAATAGTTTGGAACAGCGATAAAGGAAAAAACCGACAAAAAACAACGGGTGTTCCTCATGATTCCAACTAAACCACTCGTAGACATCACGGGGCCGCGGGCCGCAAAACCGCCCCTTCCAACTGCTCGGTTCCTGTGGTTCCGCTGAAGGCGGTCCATTGATCTAGTTGAGCTGTGAGTCGTCACAAATCCCTTTTCACCTAAAGGGACCCAAAACGAAAAAAATCCGCCAGCTCGGATCCCGTATTTTAATGCAACGTCGAATTGCCGGGAACCCCCGGCAACCCTTGAGACGGACTTTTGGTCGGCCCCCCCGGATCCGACGCTTGCGGGTTCCCTTCCTCGAAGTCGTAGGGCTGCGGAGTGTCCACCCTGACGAGACGTTGCCCGGGGCGGTCTACCGCCTTTTGGCCCAAAAAATAAGATACGCTCCTATGCCCCCCCTCCAACTAACATAGCACCAGACATGGGGTACCTTGATGAGGAAACCAATCTTCCAGGCTCCCAGAGGTGCCATGTTAGTGGAAGGGAGGGTATGGAACAGCCATCCATGGTTCAGGGAATCTGTAAATTCCTCTTGACCCTTCCCCCCCCCACCTTTTGAGTTTCTGCTCACTTGCAGGGAAGAACAAGAGAGCCCTTCTCCGGCTGCATGATGCTGCCAGCCGCAGAAAGCATGCGGGAGGCCGGACGTTCACTTCGCCCGCCCAGCGGCAAAAACCACTCGCAAAAATTGTTCTTTCCAATATGCTGTTTCGATTGACCCTGCGGAACTTTTCAGTGGGTCCCGTCCCTTTCAGTGCATCATCTAATTTGCGGGCCGGGACTCTATTCGCCATTCTGCAAGCAATTTTTGGCGGTCTTTTGCGCCGCCGGGATCGCCCTTTAAGGACCCAATCCCTTTTGTCCGTGCAAGATGGACGCGCGGACCCTGACAGGAAAGAAGGGCTTCTGCCAGACCTTTCGGGGCTCAGACCTCCCCAGCGACGCGTACGCGTTTGCAGCGAAGCCGACCTCGTGAAGTAGGCGGGCGGCATGTAGGGTGTGCCGCCGCTGCTCTGGCCAGCAAGCTCCTAGCATCGGAAGCGACACCCCGCAGAATGCCCACCAAACAATTGGCTGTGGTCGTTAAAACCAATGAGATCCCCTTTTGGGGTAGGTGCACCCCCTAGTGGGGATTGGGATGCCCCATGGCCATTTGAAAAATGTCCCAAGCCCACCATGTCAGGGCAATATCCACAGCCCCCTCCAGCAACCATGTGGGCGAACACCAATCAACATGAGCTGCAAGTTTGCAAGCCTTCGGCAACTGGGTGAATTCCAGCAAAGGAACCAAACTGAAACAGATTCAGTTTATTCATGCACCAAACTGACCAGTTCAAAGCGCGCCGGCAGAGTTTACAGTCTACCTGCCACCGCTTCCCTCCAGTGGTTTGAAGTTTAGAACGTCCTATCATTGATTCAAACGGGTTCAAACCCCAAGCCAATCCAGCCATTTTAGGGGTAACCCGAAAAGAAACCATGTCCCATCCTGGGTTTGAAACTACCTTCCCCTTCTCTTGCTCTTTCCTCTTTCTCTCCCTCTGTCTCTCCCTCTGTCTCGTCCTCTTCCTCTTCGTCCTCTTCCTCTTCCTCGTCCTCTTCATGTCCTCCGTTTGCTCTTTCCTCTTTTCTGCTAAATCTTTCTCGTTGCTCTTTCTCTGTTCTCTTCGCTTTCTGTTTTGGAATCCCTTGCTGCGACCGCCCGGATCGCCAGCGCGGCCCGAGACCTGACAATGGCAAGCCAGGCTCAGCGCCCTTTGCCCTTGAACAACAAAGCCGCTGCCCCGCCCTTTTCTCGGCACTTGACGCTGCGTTGACTGTGCCGTGCGTTGGCGCTTCCTTCTTGACACGGGAAGACCCTCTCTCCAGTCGCCAAGCATCTGGGAGGGTCCGCCTTTGATGGCTCCCCTGGTAAATCCGCCGACGCTGGTCGAGCGCGTAGATGGCAGTTCGCAACTTGGTCTTCCTTCGGAATCTCTTATCAAAGCCGAAGGCTTTTGGGACTGCTCTTTTTTGGGCATGGCTGTGCTTCGTGTCTTTTTCCCTGTATTTTCCAGTGTTTTTGGGTCCGTTTCGCCTAGGTCTCTTGGGCGGGGGGGGGGGGTTCCCTCGGACGCGCAGGATCTGCATCCCCAGCATCATCAGGATTATCTTGTTGCCATGAATTTGTCGTTTGTTTTTGCAGATACTAGTGGCGCTTTGCTGTTTCAAGCGATGTTGGAATTGGCCTGTTAGAGGTTTGGGTGGGGCCAAGTGCAGTGATACTTTGAGGAACTGTTGAAATTTGCAAAAAATGTGTGTTTTTTGCAATTCCCCACCTGTACGGAGCAGTTACTGCGAAACATCCCCTGCACTATCGTGCTTTTGGAAGTCTTTTTTATGGTATTTGAGGGGGGTTGCTAGTATCGGTTTTTGATGGTTGCTTTCGGGACATGTTGAAAAACCCTGGTTTTTGCACTTTTTTGTGGCTAGCCGTCTGCATTCCCAGCATTCCCCACATCTCTGGTATTTTCTGTGTTTGGTCAATGTTGCGTGTCCGAAAGTCTTAAAATCTTGAGCGCGAAGATTGGGTCTGTTCCTGTAAGTTGTGTGGTTGCATCCCTTGCATTTCCAGCATCCTCAGCATCTGGGACATGAAAAACAGGAAAGTGCCAAGAAGGCCTTGCTGCACTTACAAAAAAACTGGGGCCTTGCTATTATACCCTTTCGGGGGGTGGTTTAAAGAGTAGACCCTAGTGTTCTTCTCCAGTAGATTGATCAGCCCCAGTTTATGAATAGGGGACTGTCCACTGGCATCGGCGCAAACAATGGTTTCTGGTTTCAGTTCGTGGCGAAATCGAAATGGATGTCGCAACCATCCACAGCATCATGACTTGTCTTGGTTAAGCCCATTGCCTAATGATTCAGGCAACCCCCACTCTTTGTTTGGAGCTGTCGGGATGTCTTTCTTTTTCTTCTGTGTTGAACAGTTCGGATCTTGGTTCAAGGGACGCCGGCTTTAAGCGAGCTCCTGTTCGATGGACCCGATGACCGGCTGCTCCCCGTACCGCAGCTGCGGACCGGGCACGAAGAGGAAGTCTGCCAGCACCTGGCTGAAAAACATGGCCCCCTTTTGGTTGATCCGACATGGTTGTCAGGGCCGTCCAAAAAAGTAACCCTCTTAGCCCCCATAGGCCTTGTTAGTTGCTATTAGGATTTGTGAAATGGTTGGTTCTCATGGTTGTCAGGCCCCCCCCCAAAAAGGAATCCTACTGTGGATGGACAAAATCCATTTCGCACCACCGTTCAGAAACCCTGGTTTATGATGATGTCCTGGTAAATACCAGCAAACAATGGTTTCCCATGGTTTCCAAGCAGTGCAGGACTTCGTCCATCCACAGTATTAGCCTCTGTTTGGCCTTACTAGTCGCCATTAGCCCCAATTGGCATTGGGGGCCCCCCATTGAGGAATCCTTGACAACCACAGGATTGGTGAAAAGGAAACCCAAAGAAAGCCGAGCATTCGAGGGGGCCCCCATCCCCAACAAAAGTCTGATACGAGCGTCAGATGCCCGAAAAAATATTGCCAAGGCAAGGAGGAGATCGATTCACTTAGCGTGGTTCGAAGCCCTAAGTCTGATAAGAACGGTGGATGCCCGAAATATTGCCATGGTTGGCTCACTTTGCCTTTGTTGCCGTGGTTGTGTGGTTTACTAGGGTTGTCTTACTTGTCACATCACAATAACTACTGTATGGCTATAGCTATCAAGAAGATATCTAAATACAAGAATTCGTATGCACAATCGACAAAACTACTTATCGTCGCTTTGGCTCTCAAAAAGAGCCGCAACCAAATGACGGTCAATACATGTATTCCTAACTGACGTTGGGGAGTCTACCATGTGTCATTCCATTAATTTCAATCGATGGTGAACGGAACTGTTGCTCTAAGTTCCACGAAATCTGTGTCACAAGGGTGGAACAATGGCAACCCTGAAAAGAAAAGCGCGCCATCCGCAGGCCCATGTTCATTTGGTGTCCTGCGGCAAACAGCCCCAAGCAGGGTACGGGTCAAGCGTGGGTGTCCTTTGGTTTCCCTTCAAAACAACCTCAAAAAGGGTAGCTGGCTGCCGGCAGAACTAAATACAGACTTTCTGAGTGCTGACCGAGTCCCTGAACCAGAACCGATCGCTCCGATCGAAACTCGGCGCCAGTTTCAAAGGAGCGTTCCGGCGGCCTTGGGGCGCGCGAAGCCTTCGGTTTCTGTGAAACCGGGAAACCGGGACGCCGCGAGTCGCGAGAGTCCTTCGCTTTCGGTCGGCTTTGACAGGATGGCTTGTCCGGGGTTCCCATTCAGAGCTGCTGTCAAAGCCGCCTGAAATTTCCATCGGTCACACCCCAGAGCAGGAAGAATGGGAAATCCACCCTATGCACTTGATGAAGGTGGGGGTCCGTTGGACCATTTTCCTCCAAACGTTGTAGACGGGCTCCATATGCCGAGCCATAGTTTGGATGATCTCAGCTTTGGACCGCCTCCCCCGACTCGCAGGGTCTCCTCTTTGAGGGCCCGACTTCCGACTTCCATCCGAAACTCGCAGAAATCAGCATTCCCCAACATGGGAGGGGTGCTGACATGGGCTGTTCAAATACGCAACTGCGGAGGGCGCGGTTGAACCCCTGGAACTTGTGGTTGAAAACGAGTTGCTCAGCTCATCCCCCAGGCCCCGGGCGCCAATTTAAATGGACTGGAGATACCGCCAACCTCACGCCGAGCCCGGCTGGACTGGTCTTCCATCACCGCTGTGCGAGCCTGCCAGGCAGTTCCAACTCGGAGCTCGCAGCCACGGTTGTATCCCACAAAACAAGGGTGAGGCTCCGAGTGTTTAAGCAAATAGGGCTTCACCACTCAAATTGTCTTTCCAACCAAACTTCCCACCAAAGCCCGGCTCTGCTTATTTCAACAAACTGAGAAAAAAGCAAACTCTTAACGAACAGCTTCTCTCAAGTGCTAGGCAGTGTATGCGACAGGGCACATCTGAGTTGCCACAAACCTTGCAGTGACCATGGCAGTGGCTTGGAATTGCGCCTTCCACCATTGAAACTTGACGAAGCCTGCTAGAAAGTTGGCAAGCATGTGTCTGGACCTTTGCACGCACTCAGAAAATTCTGCCTGTCCGCCATCGCTCATCGCTCCAAATGATAGCCGCAGCAGCAGCAGCAGCAGCAGCAGCAGCAGCAGCAGCAGCAGCAGCAGCAGCAGCAGCAGCAGCAGCAGCCACGCCCCACGGCTAAAGGGTGCAATTGGAACAACTGTGTGCTTATCATGTCTTTGACTCAACGGACCTTCCATCCCCACTGCAGATCTACTGCCGAGCAATGGCCCCAAGCAGGGTGAAACCATGGCAAGCGCAATTGCAGCGAGGTGTTACCATAGCAATCACTGCGCACGGAATTGCAGACACCTCCCACACTTCCATTTGTGAGGGGTTGCTCAAAGTGGGTTTCATACACCCGAGGTTGACTCATAGGCTCTTCACTTTCTTGGGAAACGACCCCCCTTTCTCATCTACCAGGCCCACAACTCCGGGCCCCTCTTTTGGTGGTTTGGCTTGGTTTGGATGTCCGGCGCGACCTTCCCCGTTTGGTTTCAAAAGGAATCCCCAAACCGCCGACAACCACCCCATCGGCCAGAAAAACCACGACATGGCACACACTTTTCGGCCTGGACAGGGCGGCACTGTGGCGATCCTGGGCTGCCGACTCTCAAACGTCCCCCTCCCCTCAAAACAAGCAAAGCAACCTTTGGTTTCCCAATTCAGGGAAATGTCAATTGATGCCCCGTCAAAAAGCCGTGACAACCGGTGAAAATTGCTCGATCAAATAGACTTGACAACCAGAACCGGCAATTTGATGAGTCGCAAAACGTCGTTTGAGCAGGTATATATACCTTTGTGAGTTTGTTGTGAAAGGATTCCAGAGGAAAACCGAGGCCATTCTTGGAATTGCCCTTCTGCTGCCATGGTCAAAACTCCGATCGCGGGCCACGGTTCTCCTAAAAGCAGATTCCTTGCATTGCCTATGAAGCCTGTTGAAAGGGTTCATGACCCTCTTTACCAACCAAAGGCACACAAGGTGGGCATTTGAGACCACGGGTCAAAATCCAAATCGTAGCCCTAGTGGACCTCCCAATCCCCACGAGAACCTACCCCAGAATGGTGCCATTGGTTTTGACAACCACTGCCATTTGAGATGCCAGTTCTTCGGTGTGGTTGCAAGGGTCCGTGTTTTCCCCCTGTAAACAGAACCGCTTTTGGAGGAAACTCCAACTTTTGCCCGGGTGATGTTGTAAGCCATACAAAAAATCCCCCCCCCCCCCGCCGGACTGGCAAGCGCCTACTGTTGACCCCTGATACAAAAGCCCCAGTTCATTCACATAGGGGGTGCGGGTGTTCTACTCCAAAAGTGATGATGAATCCCTCAAACCAGAAATATGGAGCACCCCCCTGTGAATAAACAGGAGTTTGTTGGGAACCCCTATGAATCTTAATCGGGATTTGGGCATGGGTCAAAATCAAACCACAAGGGGACCGCAGGTTTTGGTCCATGTTTCCACTTACCAGGATTCCATTTTGGGTGCATATTTTTGAGAAGGCTCCGCCAAGGCGTGCAGCTCCTCGAGGGCTGGCAGAGACGGCCTCGGTGAGCTGCATGGGTGAGATGCAGCCCCCATTCGGCGCGGTCGAGGTGTGGCGCTTCGATTTTTATGGGACTCCCAAAAAAATGGCGTTGGGTTCCAAACATGGATTTCTTGAATTTCGGCCTTTTTTATGGGACTCCCTAACAAATTGGCTTTGGTGTCCCTTTGACTATCAGTCCGACAGTGCCCCTTTAATAAAAAGGCCATGTATGGGTACTCCCAAAAATAGAATTTGGCTGTCCTTTGGTTTCCCTTTAATTGACAGTCCAACAGTACCCCAAAATACAACAACACACATATATGGATGACCCGCTCAATGGGTTCTAGCAGGAATTTTATCAAAATCGAAGGAGTGCCCCCCAAAAAAAAGCCATTCGTTGATGTCCTTTTATTTCAGCCACCCTTGCAAGCACAGCCTGAAAACGAAACGCCGCTCGCAACATGGGCCTCTCGCAAAAAGAAGCCTCCGCCCAAGTTGGGGGATCTCCCAGATCCCGAAAACTGGCTTCCCTGAAAAACAGGCCAAGAACCTGGCGGCGCTCGATGTTACTATGTATGTGTATGTATATATATATATATATACATATATATTTATATATGTGTGTGTGTGTCCAAACACATGCTGGCGAGCGGTAAGGAACAAACAGAAGAAAAATACATAAACGATGATACATATATATATATATATATATATATTACTTATACATATCTCTGTGTGTGTGTGGGTTTTTCAGGCCTGCTGGCGTCGACTCTGCTCTGAGAATCTGCGACTCTGAGTGTGTTTCTCTCTCTCATTTCACGACGGCTGCAGGGCCGCACCCCGAGGCACAGCGAGAGGAGAACTGGCCTGTCACATGCAACCGAAAACCAAAAAAGAAAAAACGCCGCACCGGGTCCGACCGACGCGGTGTCAACCCATTGAAGCTAATAGAAAAAGAAAGGCCCTAACATCGAAGGCGAAGAGAAAACACAAATGGAACAACTTGGGACTGTGGAGGTTGAACTCAATTCGCCCCTGCAGTTGTTCTTGCGGTGCGCCAATGCTCTAGCAAAAGCAGAACAATGCCGGGCCGAGGCATGATGGATGAAAGGGCTTGGATTAAAACTAGACGAGCGGCACCTCAAACCCGCGGGCCACGGTAAAGATACAAAACCAGGGTGGCGACTTCTTGGGCCTCTCCCTTTGCAAGTCCCCCGCTTTAGGTGGCTTTCGAGAGGCCCTCCTTGGCCCGAACGACATCCCTGGGGGATAAATTGCCAGGGCGGCTTCAGGGAAAGGAGCCCAGCGCACAACAATGGCGTTTCCCCTTTCTGTATCTCCCAAAGGCACTAAAAAACCGCCCAGGAGCAAAGGAAGCTCCCAAATAGGAAGCGCCCGTTCAGAGCGCATCTGGTTTGAATGTGCAAACATG